TGTTTTTAACTGTAATTTGTCATGTGTAAGTGTAGTGTTGTAGATGCAAGTGTTGCAATAAATGTCTTTATGTTTTTATTTATATGGGATTTGTCTATGGGGAAATGTGGCTGATTTGAGTTTATTTTTATATTAAAGTAGTTTTAAATAAAAGTAATATACACTCTGGAAACACCAAAAACAAACACAAGCTAGTGATATCAGTTTCTCGACTCCACAGAGTCAATAATTCATTCATGGAGCAATCTATACGATATGACAACAAAGTAACAGAAAATATACAAGTCCTGTCAATAGACAAGTATAGTAATAACCAAGTTTAAATACTTTGTCAAAAAATACTGTTCGAAAAGGTTTATCATAACAGAATTAGTACATTATGTATCATTATGATAAATTGTTCTATTAACGCGCACTAAGACCTAAGAATTTGAAAACAAGGAATTTGATCGTTATCAGTGCCTAAATGATTATCCTGATAAATTCTATACTATCATTCGTACTTCTATTAAAAACATGTTCTTTATATATGTATAAAAAAGTCGTGCTACCCTCTACTGATTTCCTCAGTCACTAATCAGAAGTTTAAAGGAAAAACCGCATAAGAGTACGTTTAAAAAAATACAGAAATCCTATGGATGCATTTACATTGGACCTGTTAAAGGCTAGACGCGACAATATGACTTTAGTTTGTTATTATTATAAATACATACATATACAAAAAGTATAGAATTAATTATTGCCGCTAGCGCTAAGCACTTTTGTAGCCATATAAAAATTAAAAGGGGTAGAATTAGTAATTACCCGGAAATTATGACCTTTAATTCCAAAAACTTTGAGGAGATCTGTAATTTCTTTGCATCGCATTTTTTGAGTGCACCAATCTTCGCAATAACTGAATAAGCAACTCAATTTTAAGTAATATTGAAGTCTCACAGGTTACCCACTCATGTGAGACTTCAATATTTTTTTTTATTTACTACTAGGGTTCTGAAAAGATTGGATGTTAATGAATCACTCTCACCCCAATATTCTTCCTTTTCTAGCTAACAATATAAAATTAACATGATTTAGTAATAAGTCCTTTGTAATATTCATGACTTGATCATCTTTGTTCTTTCGTTCTTTTTAGTAACTTAGTCTTTTAGGTGTATTTTGGAAGAATGAATATTTACAATAGCAATTGAAAGCATTTGGTAATACCTTATATTATTTTTGGCTAAGAGAACCCCGTTCATGAAGACAGGGCTTGAGAAAGATTAGAACATAAAATCGTCCCTATTAATTAATTCTTATTAATTAATTAATCCCTTACCACTTGGGAGAGGCTCACAACATTTATATAAAAATACCCAATACAAGGGTTTCGCTCTCCCACATTTAAAAAAATGTGGAACACGGCTCCCCACACGCCATGTGCGATGAGCGCCTACCAGCACTCCCCCCGAAGGGGTCGTTAAATTGGAAACTGAACCGTATTCCACAGCAAAATAACTGGCGAACCAGTAAAAGAGGGCTTGGCCCCTTGGTAGTGCGTAAGCACAAACATCTACCGAAGTCGAAGAAGAAGAAAGTTGCCGCTTTTTTACTCGACTTGACGGGGCACTGCCGTGCCCCCAGATACATACTTACTAATATATGTATATGTTATTTATATTTTTTAAACTGTTACATATTACATAAATGTGCCATGTTTATAAACAAATAGTGTAACTAGATAAGGGTATAACTATATACATATGAATTTGATAGAATCAAAGTTGAAAATACTAATCATGTTCTTCTTAAAAACTGGTAGGGATTGAGCGAGTCTTGCTGATTACGGTAAGTCATCAGATAGGGTATCAGATAAGGTAAGTGAATGATCTGTCCAAAAATTTAATACCGGTTAGCTGGTATTTTTATTATTAAATTTTCTGATGATCTTAAATGTCTTAAATGAGAGTCATGGAGGAATTCAAACCGATTTTAGGTAAATAGGATAGAAAAGATTAAATAGAATATTATAAAGAAGCGAGAGAATATGAGCATTCTGTCAAAGATTAATTGGAGACCACTTTAGCCTGTGACGAAAAATTGACACATGATCATATTTACGCAAACCAAATATGAATTTTATACAAAAAATTCAAGTCACAGAAGTTTATCAAGTTGCATTTAAGTGAGATCAAGATAGCTGACATCTGCATAATCGAGGATTGGAAGCAGAAGAGTTTGTGCAAGCCCAATCTTAGTGGCAGTTGGTAAAATTTTTCGTACTCTTCTCAAAGAATGAGCAGCTGCGAAAAGTTTGAGACTAATTACCTGTAACTGAGGACTCCAAAATAAAGTCTTATTGATGTATACACCCCAGTTTTTGACAGTGTCTCCAGTCGGGATTATATTACCTTCAAATACAACTTTGGTTGCTTGTGGCAAATTACATACGGAGAACCTATAATAATTACTTGTGTCTTCAGTGGGTTAATTTTGAAACCATAATTTCTGCTCCTCTCCGAAATGTTCGCTAGGTCACTGTTTATGGTGTTAATAGCTACAACTAAGTCACTAGGAGTAGCTTGTGTTTATATCTGAAAATCATCTGCATATAAATGATAGGAAGAATTTATCTTAGTGGATATTAAGTAATAAAAACTGAAAAAGCAAATTATTATTATTATTAAAACGCCACCCTGTGGGACACCAGCAATGGTGCTACACGATGTGAGAATGTATCATTAATACGTAAGTGTTGCCGGTACCCAAACAGGTAACTTCGAAACCATTCAACCACCGTTGGAGATATATTAAAAGACCTTAATATACTCAGCAAAATGTAGAAGTCGACAGAATTAAGTGCACTATTAAAATACAGTAAAGTAAGAACAGTTAATTTACCGTTTTCCATACCGTATCCGATATCTTTCATAATATTGACTAAGGCTATGCTAGTGCTAATTAAAAACCAGATTGTAAAGGATTTAAAAGCAGATTATTACAAAGGAAAGCGTTAAGCTGTTTACACAAGACTTTCAAGGACTTTGGTCAGTAATTATAATATGGATCTAGGGTTACAATCAGTAAAGGATGCAGGATTTGATTTTTTAAGTATTTGTATAATTTAAGCATCTTTCCAGGTTGAAGGAAAAACACTACAAGAAATTGAGGAATTAAGGGCTTCTACATAAGATTGGGATGATTATATCAAGAATTGGAAGGAGCATACTACGACTCATACAGTCGATGCCAATGGCGTTGGAAGTAATGTACAAAATCCTCTGTTTAACATCACAGTAGTAAATTGATTGAAGACGAAAGGTGAATGATCAGAAGATGGAGGTGTTGAAAGATAATTTAATGTAGATAGTTTTAGTGCCCCATTAAAGTCAGGCAAAGGTGAGAAGTGTCAATTTAGTAAATCAATATTTAAATCTTTATGTAATGCATTACTACGTGACTTTCCAAACTCCATTGCTCTGAGAAATTTCCAGACTTTAGCTGGATCATCATTCTGTCCTGATTCATGGATATAATAGCGTTGAGCATTCTTACACAACTTATTAGTTATTACAGTAATTTCGGATATTAACATATTTTTCCCAGTTTATGTCTGTAGGTTTACATATATATTTTGACTTAGCTGCAGCTTTCTTATTTAATAAGATTTTAATTTCTTCTGTTAAGGAAGGTGTTTCATTTTGACGGCACGAACTGGAGCATATTTATCGTAGAGATTAGTTAAGTTAGAAGTGAACAATACTACCTTACCAAGCTTAGCCTTTTTATAAACCTCCAATTTGGCAGCGATCTTTATATTTGTTAAAGGAACATCGGTTTTTTTTTCGATGCAGTTGTTATATAATACAGAATTAATGTTATAAATAATCGTATAATGTTACATTAAAAAAGTCCCCGAGCATTAATTGCTCGTTTTTCCCAGAACAGAGGTTTTTTTACGAACCAATAGTGAAAACAAAATTGACTTTCAATAAGATTTACTTGTAATCTATACTGAATAAAAAATTATATGCTATACAACTATTGTAAATAAGAAAAAAAAACGATTGTAACTAGCCATCTGCGTAGGACAGGATTATAGTGCACGAATGTGTGCGTAAGCACGGGTGCACTCTCTATTTCCAAGTCCGAAAAGTCAGCTTTCCGACACGACCGGACAGATATCAAGCGCAGGATCACTGCTTTACGTACTTTCCCAGGCACGGGGGTGAAACACCGCCAACTTCCTGACTGCGGGCTGCTAATGATTTTTTTAAGAGAAAAACTCAAGTCAACCCTTTAACGGAAATAACAAGTAGTGGGCTATTGCTGGCTAGATATAATTAAAGTAGATGCTGTTACCACTGTCTGGGGCTTTTATTCAAAATATTGTGTCAAATTTTATGGATTACGAAATGGTTGGATTTATGAGATGATGGCCGTAGTACTCTTTTTCTTGTGTGAAGTCCGTTAGGTACCACACTCTTACTTATTTTGATTATCGCCAAAAAATAGTACTTGCACTGATGTGTTCCGGTCTGAAGGGTATGAAAAGTCGGTATAGTTAAAGGCTGTGAAGCGTTTTATCTTATTCCTTAGAGATGATAATGAATCTACAGTCTTCTTCTTTTTTAATTTTCTGCCAAAAAATAAAATCTGTCGTGAAATACTCGTATGAGATAAAATTTGAAAGTAAACAAAAAGTTTTTTTCAAGTAATACAACACTATGTATATTATTTCTTTCAAATTTTGTACATATCTTAAAAAATTAACACAATCATCATAATAAAATAATAAAGTAAAGTAATGCACTATCAATTAAATAATTTCGCAAAAAGAACTTAATTTACGTGTTTTCAAATAAACTATTAACATAGAGTTTTTCCTTATTTTACAGTTAAATAATGAGATGTAATGCTAATGATACATTGTATCAATAAAATTATGCATAATATAAACAAAACGTGCATCAGTATTTCTTGCCACATTCTATTATAATCAAATTATCAAAAACAAAAATTCTTTAAGCATTAATGAAATGTTGTTCGGGTAATACATTCCATGTATCAATTGTTTTCAAAGAGTGTTCTGTATCTATCGGTGTTTCCAGTGTGTGGTATTCTTTGGTTACCGGTGCTCTTTGTACGGTGTACGCGTAAGATGATGGTGGGTAAATACTGTAAATTGGAGAAGACCCATAATATATACTAGGTCCAGCATTAAATGAAGAAGATTCATATGATGATACAGGTACAGAATATACTGGCCTCGAGGCCACTTGATTATCTACAATTTTTGAGTAGGCTGTAGGATTCAAGAAGTGCGTATTTACAGGTGTGACATGCGACACTGGTGTTGAGTACACGGTTGAATATGAAATAGGCACAGGTGTTGAGTACACCGTTTTGTCAGATATTGGTGTTTCGGTTGTTGAATACCCCGAAAGACGAGTAACGTGAGTAACAGGTATGGAGTTCGTACGAGATAGTAAACTAAAAGATGATAAAGGCACGGAATATGTTCTGGAAGATGAACTGTGTAATACAATGGGCTTAGAATAAGTAGCGTAGTCGGAATAATTTGCTGCATTGAGTGTGGAGTATGTTGTAGATTCCATCACCGGTGTTGATGACGTTGCATTTATGTCAGTGGATGATGATGCAGATCTGTACGTTGTTTCGGGGTTAAGCACCGTTACAGAAGCAATTTTTCTTAGTGTAACTGGTTGTGATGTACTAGAAGAATAATCCTGGCCTGTTGTAACTGTAGAGTATGAAGTGGGGAGTGACACTTCAGGCTTGGACGTTGTATAGTATGAAACAGGTGGTGCTGGTGTAGTATACTCAAAATATGACGTTGGAGGTGAGGGTGTCGAGTAAACAGTAGTAAACGATGCGGGTGTAGATAAAATGGAGTACTTGTTAAGATTAAGTGTAGGTGCAGGTGTTTCAGGCGACGTTGATGTTGCTTTAAAGTGGGATGTTGGTGTAGCTGGTGTCGAGTACGTTTTAAAGTATGAAACGGGTGTTGCAGGTGTGGAGAACGCTGTTGGGTATGGAGAAGCCGATACAGTCCTAAAGTAGGCTTTAGGGAAAGACGTGTAATCTGCGGACTTCAAGAATATATTGGATTGAAAATCTGTAATGACTGGTTTCGAGTAATGAAAAGATGATCCTTGATTTTCTGTGGGAGCAAAAAACACTTCAGAGGGAGTATTTTGCTTCAAATATGTCGTTGAAGAGGAGGGTGTCGATAAAACAGTATAAATATTTGCGGGTGTAGATGAAATGGAGTACGTCTTAAGATTAGATGCTGTCGTTGGCGAGGTTGATGTTGTAAAATAGGATGTTGGTGTAGCTGGTGTCGAATATGTTTTAAAGTATGATACAGGTGTTGCAGGTGAGGAAAATGTTGTTAGACGTGATGAATCCGACACAGTGTTTAAGTAGGTTTTAGGAAAAGATGAAGAATCTGCGGAATTCGTAAATATATTAGATTGAAAATCTGTAATTACTGGTTTCGAGTATTGAAAAGATGGCCCATGGGTTTGTGAGGGAGTAGAAAATACTACAGAGGGAGATTCATATGTTGTAACTTTTCCAGAGTATGGTTCTGGTATGTCTTTAATACTGTGTGAAAAATACGTTGTAGGTCTTGACACGTATGAATATAAAGCATTAGGAAAGGAACCGTAGGTTTTTTCTAACTCACTGGGCGCATCGTACCTATAATTGTATGGTGTAAAACCGGACACTAAGGTATGTTTTTTAACCAGATTCGAATGAGTTTTAAAGTTTGAATTAAAGTTTGATACGGGTTTAGAGGAATTTATTGAATGTGAACTGTATGTCGTATCGGAATACTTTGTAGGGTAAGAATTATTCGTATTAACAGACAATCCGTAGTTTGTGACAGGAGAGTGGTATGCTCCATAGTACGATGTGTTCCTTGCTGTTGGTTTTTCCAAAGATTCATACACTCCTAAAGACGAAACGTTTACGGATAAGTTAGTTAAATTGAAATCTTGATTTTTTATGGGTTTAGAGTGAGCTTCCTGAGACGAATATGATCCATTTTGTGCCACAGAGTCTTGGGTATTAAAAAATACCAGCTGGGCCCCGCTTTGAACCTAAAAAGTAAAATAAATGATTATTACAGTTACTTTGCATTAATGTGGTTAAACAAAATCTGCAAAATCATACAGCTATTGTAACATTATATATCCTACTAATATTATAACTGTGTAATTTTGTATGGATGTTTGCAAGTATCTTGGTCAATCAACGCTCAAACGGTTGAACGAATATTAATGAAATTTAACATAAAGGAACAGTTTATCAAGAAAAAGAACATAGAAAACTCTTTATATAATATGACGTTCGGAGGGTTAGGATTAATACGTACAGATTCAACGAATTGGGTGGCTAACAGCTTGTTATCTAAATAATATTTGAAAACTTATAATTTTTATTTATATTTGTAACATAAATGCGAATATAATATGCATGCAATAAAGACGAAACTGAAAGGCGTTTGTAAATTCGCTCACTACAGTTATAATGCTTAGAGCAACAGCCTTTTTTTATTATTACAGCCTATCAAAGTCGACTGCTTAACATATTTCTTCCCCATCTGCCTTATGAGGCAATCAGCAAAAAAAGATAATTATATAATTTATCTATTTGCCATAGTTGCCACGTCGTTGGCAACCAGAGTTTTTCATTTATACTCATTTTCCCTCTGTCGCCTTTTACTACACCCACGGGATGATATGGAGTTGTAAATATTCTTACACCACCACTACACGGTATATTATAACGATATTTAAGCTATATATTAAAATTCTGTTAGATTTTAATAAGCCCAATGAAATATGAAGGTTGGGAAAAATTAAACATACCTGCTGGGGTTGCTCGAGAATATGGACAGTAGGGTTCTTGTATAATTCGTTGGAAGTGGAGAGTTGCTCTCCTGCGCTCACCAACGTCACGATGGATAGGAAAAGCTGTAATTAATAATACTGCACCTTTAACAGTAGTAGTTTATTTTAAAATTGTTTCAATAAAACTTATCGTTATCAAATTTATAATAATTGGGATACAGGTAATAGCTGCAGCGTAGCTCTACCACGTAAAAGAAAAAATTAAATTAAATTGCAATTAAGTTGACAATTTTATCGGTGCTATCTGGGGTTGAACCCAAGTAGCTCGCGTTCTGGGAAATTTCAGGGAGCACTTAGCTGAGCTACAGCGGGTCACGATGATCTTCTTCTTCTTCTTCTTCTACCTAGCGTTTACAGCGGGTCACGATGATATTTAAGATAATTATATAATTTATATTTTTGCTTCGTCACTATTTTAGGCTAATCTTTATGAGTATGGTACTGTGTAAATTAATATAAAAAAAATTAAATTAGACTGCCACGTTGGTCTAGTAGTTGTAGTAGTGCGACTGCTGAACATGAGGTCCTGGGTTCGAATCCCGGTCGGAAAATTAATTATTGAGTTTTTCCGTTAAGAAATTCTCAATAGTTGCCCGGAGTCAGGAAGTTGGCGGTGTCTCACCCCCGCCTCGGAAAGCACGTAAATCCGTTGGTCCTGCGCTTGATCTCTCTCCGGTCGTGTCGTGAGGGAATAGAGAGTGCACCTGTGCTTGCGCATACACTTGGGCACTATAATCCTGTCCTGCGCCGATGGCTATCCTCCGTTGAGGCAGGCCGCCGTGGTCGATATTCGGTTTGGAGGAAATTATTATGAATATTATTACTGTGTAAATTGAAGTATGTGATAGATTTGTGTGATAAATGTAAATGTAAATTTAAGATTATGAGTGTAGGACTTGGATGAAATAATAGAGTAAAAAAGCCGTAAAAAGCCGTATTAGACGAAAGTTTTTCGACGTATATGGATGTAAAAGAAGCGAGAGAGGTATGTCAGGATCGTGTCAAAAGGAAGTCTGTAGTGCCTGCCTATCCCTCTGGGTGACGGGCGTGAGTGTTATGAATGTCCTTCTTGTATACGGGAAATACTGCGTTGTGTGTCATTCTAGTGAAATAAAATATCTAATAATGTTATTATATAATAAATTATGTACAGTCAACTCTGGCAACTTTACAAGTGAACGTTGACTTTACCTGTGATGTGATATATAAAGTAAAGTAAAGTAAAGTTACAGCCTATATACGTCCCACTGCTGGGCACAGGCCTCCCTAATTTCTGAGAGGGTTTTAGGGCAAGGAAGTGTCCGCCGCGCTGCCCCAATGCATGTTGGCGAACTTCACATGTCTTCGAAATATTTTTTTTCTTATTTCTTAGACATGCAGGTTTCCTCACGATGTTTTCCTTCACCGCCGAACACGTGGTAAATCAGCACTTAAAATTGCAATTAACAACTTCATTGGTGCCGGCGGGGATTGAACCCGGGTTACTCTCGTTCTGTTATAGTTACAGAGAGCGCTAACCATCTGAGCTACCACGGCTCTCGTGATATCACGGATGTGATACATGCACGTACACAATTATGATTAACACGGACAACGTAATGTTTTTTAGAGATATCCTATTTTCTCGATGAAAATTCATTAACTAATTGACAGAAATGTTTCCGTGGCAACATGAGAGTTAATTTTGGCATTTTATTTAACGCGGAATTGTGCCGGCGACTACACCTTTTTGTTTAGTGCTCCAGACTCTTTGTGGATTTTGTTTGTAATACTGAATGTAGGTATCTATATATTTGTAGTAACGTAATATTGCAGCCCCACAGGAAGTGGACCTGGTCGAGCCCCGACGGTTCGACAAAAAATGAGATTGACTTCATTATGACGACCAGACGCCAACTGTTCAATGATGTCTCAGTGATCGCAAGGGTGAAAACCGGCAGCGATCATCGAATGCTTAGAGGCACACTGTACCTAAACGTTAAGTTGGAGAGGTCTCGTCTAATGAAGTAAACGCTCCGTCCCCCTCGTGCTCTAATCCAGAATCCCGAATCTTTTCAGCTCAAGTTACGTAACCGCTTTCAGTGCCTAGAAGATTGCAATGCAGTGGACGATATGAATGACAATCTCGTGGAAACTGTCCATGCGGTCGGAGCTAAGTTCTGCAAGACCCGCCGCAGAAGAACACAAAAACTCTCCGATCACACTCTTAATCTCATGGTTGTTAGACGGGAGATGAGGCTGCAATCGTCAACAGATTTGACAGCATACAGGCAACTGAACAGACAGATCTCCAAATGCATGCGGCAAGACTTACGCAACTTTAATACTGCTCGTATTAAAGAAGCGATCGAGCGGAACCAGGGCTCCAAAGTCTTTGCCAGATATCTGTCTGCCAGAAAGAGCCAACTGTCAAAGCTGAAGACTGAGTGTGGCAGCATCGTTTCCGGGACACCTGAGAATCTGAGTGGGATTGAGAGGTTCTATGGGCAGCTGTACACATCATCGTTAGAGCCACACGCAAGTGTGAGTAACGATAGAAGAGCAAGTCTTACCCGACACTATTCCGATGATATCCCGGACGTCAGTCTGAGCGAGATTAGAATGGCTCTCCAGCACCTTAAAAACGGCAGGGCCCCAGGCGAGGATGGAATTACAGCGGAGTTTCTGAAAGCGGGTGGAACACCGGTACTTGAAGTCCTTCAGAAGCTCTTTAATTCCGTCCTCCATGGTGGCACTACTCCGGAGGCGTGGTGCAGAAGTGCGGTGGTCTTGTTCTTTAAGAAAGGCGGCAACGCTCTCTTGAAGAACTATAGACCGATTTCCCTTCTGAGCCGCGTCTACGTGCTGTTTTCGAGAGTCATTACGAATCGTCTCGCACGCAGACTCGACGACTTCCAGCCTCCCGAACAAGCCGGTTTCCGAAAAGGCTTCAATACCATAGACCACATACATACCCTGCGGCAGATTGTACACAAGACCGAGGAGTACAATCTGCAACTTTGCCTGTCGTATGTGGACTATGATTCCGTCGAAATTTGGGCGGTGTTACAGTTCCTTCAGCGGTGCCAAGTTGACTGTCGGTAAATCGAAGTGCTGAAGTGTTTGTACAGTAAGGCTACGATGGCTATCTGAGTACAGAACCAGAGTTCGAAGCGTATCCAACTGCAGAGAGGTGTAAGACAGGGTGACGTTATATCCCCGAAACTCTTCACCGCTGCGTTGGAAGACGTTTTCAAGCTATTGGACTGGAAAGGATACGGTATTAACATCAATGGCGAGTACATCACTCACCTTCGATTTGCCGACGATATAGTCCTTATGGCAGAATCGCTGGAGGACCTTAGCACTATGCTCAATGACCTCAATGGTGTCTCCCAACGGATAGGTCTTAAGATGAACATGGACAAAACAAAGATCATGTTTAATGTTCATGTCACACCTATGCCGGTAGTTGTTGGGAGCACTATGCATGAAGTTGTTGACGAGTACGTTTACCTGGGACAAATAGTCCGACTAGGTAAGTCCAACTTCGACCGAGAGGTCAATCGACGGATTCAACTCGGCTGGGCAGCGTTCGGGAAATTACGACACATCTTCCCGTCAGGTATACCTCAATCTCTGAAAACTAAAGTGTACAACCAGTGCGTGTTGCCAGTGTTGACTTACGGATCAGAGACGTGGTACTTCACCGCTGGCCGTATGAGGACGCTCAAAGTCGCTCAGCGAGCTATGGAGAGGGCTATGCTCGGAGTTTCTCTGCGTGATAGACTCAGAAATGAGGATATCCGCAGTAGAACCAGAGTGGCCGACATAGCCGAACGGATTAGTAAGCTGAAGTGGCAATGGGCCGGCCATATAGCTCGAAGAACCGATAACCGATGGAGAAGAAAGGTTCTCGAGTGGCAGCCTCGTACCGGTAGGCGTAGTGTAGGGCGACCCCCCACTAGATGGAGTGACGACCTGGTAAGACATGCAGGAAGTCGATGGATGCAGGTGGCTCAGGACCGTGCTTTGTGGCGTTACTTGGGGGAGGCCTATGTTCAGCAGTGGACTTGTGAAGGGCTGTAATGATGATGATGATGAATATTGATTAGAGATATAAAGGATATCCGGTAACTATCCGGTATTCGGCCTATCCGGCCTAAAATTATTATCCGGCCGGATACCGGATTTTAAAAATAAAACACGAAATATCAAATTTAGTTAAGTACTTAATCAGTAATCTCAAATGTTTCATTTTTAAACTTACAAAATTAGTACTCGTACTGCGCTAAGGCACAAAATAAATGATATTACTACGTAGCTGAGGTCAAATTATGGTGAAGAAATACTAATTTCTCTGCATTTAACGGTAACAAGCGGTTTCGTCTGTCTTCATAAATAAGGACAGCTTCAGAAAAAGTCTTTCGCTGTAGACACTGCTGCAGGGTGCTGCAAGATAGATTTTGGCAAACTTTGATAAATTTGGTATATAACCAAATATAAGGGTCTCGATCGCGAACAGTTTGCACTGACTTTACTTTTAGCTTCTTGCGATGCACGAAACGGCAATGTTCGGCAGGATATCGGCAGCCGGATATCCGGCTATCCGGTGATAATATTGGCCGAATATCTGGTATCTGGTATAACAGCTGTCCGTTTCATCTCAAATTTTATTTATTAGGAAATGTAATATTTCTTTATTTGAACATTTTATTTTAAAAATATTCTTTTAACATTTATCTATAAAACTAACTTGGCAAAGTTAACATATATGCTAGTGATGCCACGATATGACTGTTACTTGCCATGTTTTGCTACAACCAAGGTTTGTCACACTCAACCTAGGTATATTTTTAACCGGTGACGACGATATAAAGTAAGGGTTCTGTGCTTAATATTCTATGTATGTATGATTATATGGATATCCATGTTTCACTGTAGCAGTCCATTAGACCGATTTAACTGAATGGTTGTCAAATATCTTTATGAAAAGTGAAAGAAAAGAAAAAAGTTTAACTGTGTTGGTGGACATTAATAATGTTATTACAACTCAGTATTTTTGATATTTTCCACTTAGTTTGCTGATAATATATTGCACCCAAAAATGTCATTTTTAATGATTATGAATGTTTTTCTGCTATCAAAAAACAATATTTTGATTGATTACAATTTTTTTACCTGATTGTAATAAAATAATTATGATAACGACTAATAAAAAAACGAATACTTGTTGAAAATGATTGTGACAAGCCTTTTTTACCTATAACATAATTGATTTAAGCTTATTATTGCACAAATTTGATTTTATATTTTTGAGAACAGTATTTTTGTTTGATGTATTTTAGATTTTTGTTTGAAAAATTATTGCAAATAGATTTAAATAAAAAAATTACGTTAAGTACGTAATCAAGAATTTTTGTCAACTCTGGCACATATTTTCAAGTTCGTTTGAAATGTTCAAATACGGGAGGCAACTTTGTGACAAGCGTAAACTTTGCTATTTTTAAGTTTGAGTGTTGTGTAAATAAAAATCTACACTACTACAATATACTACTACTACACTAGGCGGTACGACTTCTGTTCAGCTTAGAAGTTCATCTGGGCCAGTACCAACCTTTTACCTCGGGTGGGATTGGATCATCCAAAAGAATGTTGCCATCATCCAAAATTTATGTGGTAAACTTAACTTCTATCTTGAAGACAAGTCCTATTATTTTCATTAAAAACCCTAACGGCAAAGTTGACACAAATTGAGATGTTATAGGTTCTTTTTTTGAGTATATTGTCTATTTAATGTTAGTATTTTTTTACATAACTAATAAACACAAAATTAATGAAGAATATAATATCACATTTAACTTTGACACCCAGTCCAGTCCAGCCTGGAAGTACATTTTTTGATTTAAGCTTATTACTAGACTTAGTCCTAGATTTTTAAGTACTTTCAGAAATGGCAAAGTTGCCGACCTTTACGGTACTTAAAATTATTACATAATAAATTACTTAATGTTAAATATTTAATTCACTTATTTGGATGTATCGAATATTCGTTCGAAGTCGATAGATGAAAGATTTTGTTTTACTTATAGTCTTGAAATATACCTAACAATTTTATTTAACTTACAACAAACATAAAACACCAGGGGATCAAGAGTCGAATTCCAGTTGGAGCCCAAATTTAAACATTGACATCATTATCAGCCTGTAAAATCCCACTGCTGGACATAGACCTCTCTTAACAATCGAACAACTAAAAGACGTTGACAACATTGACGCAACTGTCTACCGCCGATTTTGCGCTTGACTTAAATGGTATAGTAATAACGTCATCTATCGGAAGACAAGTGTTTCCGTCACCTCGTATAAAACGGCAAATAAAAAAAAACATTTTAAAATGTTTGTATTTAAGCTTTCATTTTAATTTGTTTCCAACACTGCAAATTTTCTCGCGGTAAAGCCACGCTCCAGCTATATTATGGTTGTAGTACGAATAGGTCGGTTCGACAACGCTCTCACAGAATACCAGAGTGCAATAGCAGCTTAATACAACGATGTATCTTATGGTGAGTGTAGAACACCGAAAACACTTTATACTGGAAACCAGGCGTTCCATCTTAATGCTCAGGGATGACAATGCATCTGTATTTTGATTCTTAATCGAAGACAAATATCAACGGGCCACAGCAATCAACTTACCATCAGATGGACTGTGTGCTCGTTTGTCGTCCTTATCCTGTAAAGGAACCTACCTGCGTAACATATTTTGACTACGATTATAAACAATTATCCAGTATAGCGTTAGGACTCATATTCTGTCTAAAAGTCCGTCTAAGTATATACTTCCCCTTTTAACCATTTCTGAAGCCGAGCATCGGGGCGTGCACGCTGTGTTACGGTGTGAAAAGCAAGCTACAGCGTTTAACTATACTGTCTCTCTATACCAGAGAAACAGTGTAATTAAATGCTGTGTGACCCTCTCAGTCCGCAAAGATGAGAATGCACCCATAGCCTTCTTTATTTAAAGCTGATTGCAGCTGCCCGTAGGCTGCAGACTTACCGTCTGGTGGACTGTGAGTTCGATTTCACTTCAATTATATTTAAAAAAAACTGTTACATAATTGATAGCGTCTTATTCTGCCTACGTGATTGTGGTCAAAATAATTATCACTGTGATTCTCCCGTTCTTGATAATCCAGAAACCACACCCACAACAAGAAATCATGTCATTCTTTTGCAGAATTTGAAGTTCTTTGTATTTTTGTATTAAAATGTAGAATTATACATAAATTATATTTTATTTTAAAGAAGTGGCCAGTTCCCTACTCTATACAGAAAAAATTTATCTAAAATCAAGTCGTAAACTCACCCAACTCTTCATTTTTTGAACATTAAAACAGGCACACGCGAATTTGCTTTACAAGGTAGAATCAATTGCAAGAAACCTTTAGTCACCTCTTTTATAGACAAAATATGTAACTGAGTAATAATATTATATCAAGCTCTGTTATTATTCACAAACTTGATTTCATATTCGAGCGACCGGTCATAAAATAAATAAAGCAAAAGTTGAAAGTTCAACACAAAATAAGAAGCGCTTCAAGATTATCTTATTTTTATAAGATATTTTATAATTTTAAATCTAAATCTTTAAAATTAAAAAACTAAGTCTAAGTCTACCACCCAACTATCAACTTTATTTCTAAACGAGCTACCAAAGACTGGCCGTTACTTTAAAATTCGTAACATTTCAATAAAATCTTATTCATAATGAAGTGTAGAGAACAAAAACCAAATACTATAATTTTATAACGTAAAGGTGTAACGTTTGCTGTTATAGACGGACTGTAGTGTTTGGAGAGTGTAAGAGAGCCAGGACAAAACACTAGGTTATGTAAAACACTACACTACAAAACACTAGTAGGTGTGGATGTGAGGCATTCCACCTATCTTCAGAGACGGCAACGCATCTAAGATCTTCTTTGTTTGAAATAGTTTGCAGGCATGAACTGGATTCAATAGCCACATACCATATTAAGGTACATGCCATCTCATATCTCATTGACGATATAATATAAAAATATAATAATTAGTAACTACCTCAAAGGTGCGAAACGTGTGGTAGTACAATCGTCACCACCCAACAACGGAAGAAACTCATGTCAAACAGTCAAACACATGTCAAACTCAATAACAGTCCGAAATGGACGAATAGGAAGTATGTACCACTCGTATGCTGCTACTGTTATTTTTCTGTGGCGGCGCTGTCACCGCGGCACAAGCGAAACGCACGAAAGCCTAAATAGCGCTATCAAAGTTCTGAAGCTACATCGCTCTAAATAGAACAGCTCCGAATTAGCATACGGCCAACGGCCGCCCCCGGGCTGATCACCTTGCCCGGCGGGAGATCTCCCCTTTTCTTTCTACCATCAAACTTCCTTAAATTGGAATAAAATTTAAAACCAATTCTTGTAGCATAGCAGGCGTGAGCAAATTATAACATACATACATAATACATATACATATACATACATAAACACTCACGCCTGTCACCCAGAGGGGTAGGCAGAGACTACGGACTTCCATTTGGCACGATCCTGACATACCTCTTTCGCCTCCTTTACATCCATATATCTACGCATACATGCTCGTCGGTTAAGGGTACTTCTAACGTGGCCCATTTTCAAAATATCGCCAATTTGGTCGATAAACTTTTTCCTAGGGCGTCCCTTCCCGACTCGGCCATTCACATCTGCCATATAAATTTGCTTTGTCACTCTTTCCTCATTCATTCTTTCTACGTGACCAAACCACCGAAGCATTCCTTTCTTAATCCTGGTCACAACATCATCTTGCATACCACATTTATCTCTTATCACGCAATTTCTCACCCTGTCATTCAGATTACACCCTAGCATATTCCTTAAAGACCGCATTTCTACAGCATTTATTCTACTTTCGTGCTTCTTCTGCCACACCCAGCTTTCACTACCATACATTAAAGTAGGGACTAACACAGCATTATGAATTACCATACGTGCCTGTTTTGACAAATTCTGGTTCTTCACAATAGAGTGTAGTGCCCCATTCACTCTATTCCCTGCATTTACTCGTCGTTCTATATCCCTATCACATCTACCATCCCTGCTAAATACACATCCCAAATACACAAACTCATCCACTTGCTCAATCAACTCTCCTTCTATTCTTATTTCACATACCGTTTTGCTTTCTTCTCTTTCAAAAACCATCACTTTCGTCTTACTTGCGTTCACTTTCATTCCCCTTTCTTTTAATTCCCAGTTCATTAATGTAACCATCATTTGCAACTCTGCCGCCGATGACGCAAGTATGACTTGATCATCGGCATACAAAAGGCATTTGACGGTTAAACTCGCCCATTCTTAACCCACATTCTTCATCTTTCAAAGTTTGCAAACACCGGTCCATAAATAGGTTGAACAGCCAAGGGGAAGCCACACAGCCCTGTCTGACACCTTTTTGGATGCCAAACCAGTCGAGTAGACCCCATTGATCCTGACACAAGCACTAGAGTCCCTATAAAGAGACCTTAATGCCTGTATCAAACCAGCGCTCAACCCATATGAGTTCAGTGTTTGCCATAACACATTCCTGTCCACTCTGTCATAAGCCTTTTCCAAGTCCATGAACGCACAAAAAACTTTCTGGTTTTTGGCCAAAAACTTCTCCGCAATCATGCGCATGGAAAAGACTTGATCTGTACACCCCATTCCCTTTCTAAAACCCGCTTGCACATCCCAAATTTTTCCATCAGTTTCTTTCATAACTCTTTCAATTAACACCTTAGCATACAGTTTACCCACAATACTAAGCAAGCTGATACCGCGGTAGTTTTTGCAGTCCTGCTGTGACCCTTTTCCTTTATATATTGGTACTATAACTGCTTTACACCAGTCATCCGGTACCCGTTTTAATTCCCAACATAAATTAAACAAGGTGTACAGCAGGCCTGCCACCACTCCCTCTCCAGCCCTTAGCATCTCGAGTGATACTCTATCATATCCAGCTGCCTTACCTGCTTTCATGCTTTTCATTGCTTTCATTATTTCATCTACACTTATCTCCATACCCCTTTCCACTTCTTTCGGAATTTCTAGTTCATTTAATTCATACGACTCTTCACTCATAAACACGCTTTCAAAGTATTCCTTCCATCTGTTTAAATTCGAAACTTCATCATTCAGAATACATCCATTCTCGTCTCTTATAGCATTTATTATAGGCTGTTTTGTATTTCCCCTGGCAGTTCTTACGAGTTTCCAGAACATTTTTATGTTAGCCTGGAAATTATCAGATATCCTTCTATCATTCTTATCCGTTCTTTCTTTCTTTTTCTTTTCAACAACTTCTTTTACTCTCTTATTTAGACGTCTAAATTCTGCCTTTTTTCTTTCAATCTCATCATTCATACCAGAAGAATTATCAGCTTTGGTTGCTAGTAAATCTAACCTTGCTTTCTTCTTTGATTCAACTTCCACCCGTACCTCATCATCCCACCATAACGTATTACTTTTCCTTTCATTTTTTCTCTTACTTACACCGCATACTTCGGTGGCGGTATCCACCAACCTTTCTTAATATTATCCCACACAGTATTCAAGTCTAAATTCATTCATACACAACTCATTCAAACATCTAATATTTTCTCTCAGTCTACATTTATACTTCTCTATCACATCTTCATCTTGTAACTTCTCTATTCTTATACGCTGTAACGCAGTGGTAGATACAGATGTCCGATGCCGCCAACGCTTGAAAAGACCATTAATTCGACATAAGACCAAGTAATGATCCGTCCCTACGTTGGACCCCCGGTAAACCCTTGTTGTATCTACGACTGCGCTCCTCATTCTTTCAACCACAATTACGAAATCTATCATGCTTCTATCATCACCTCTTTCCCATGTATACATGTGAATCTTCTTATGACGAAAAAAAGTATTCGTCACAAAAAGATTCTTTTCCGCACATACGGTGAGGAGGTCTTCACCATTCTCATTTATACTTTCATCACCAAACGTTCCCAATATCCTTTCATAACCAGACCTCTTCACCCCAACCCTTCCATTAAAGTCTCCTAACATAATAATATTTTCATTTTCCATATCCCAAAACTGCTCTCGGATGTAAGTGGGCTTAGACATGTCTGGGGCGTACACCCCTAGCAGGAACAGCTTCTTTAAGCCCACTTTCATTCGTATCCATAGCAGTCTCGGGCTTACACATTCATACTCTTTCACACATTGACCCATTCTTTCTGAAAGGATGAAACCGACTCCCTGGCATGCCCGTTCGGTCTCGCCTACACCAGACCAATACGCGGTATACGTGCCATGTGCAGTGGCATCCTTTCCCTTTCGTTTCGTCTCATTCACACATAACACATCTATTCCTCTGTCATTCATCATTTCGCATACTTCATCCATCTTATCATTCATTCCTCCACATACATTCAGCGTAGCCAGACGGGTTTCCGCAATCCACTTTTCGCCCCTCCGGGAGACAGAACGTGACGGGTGGCGAACCTCGTCGCCGGTTTTTCTCCCGGAGATTCTTCGCACCCCTGCCCCATTTAAAGGGCGCCGGGAACTCGGGGCCATTTCTTTTATTTCTTGAGTCATGGTGCGAACAAGGGTTGGTGGTAGATTTTACGCCGCTACCATACGGCGAGGAGCCGAGTCTATTTTATCGGCTTTGTCGCTCGTTTAGCACCACCCGGGGGACACGTGTAGGGTGGGCCTAAGGTTAGGTGGTCGAAGCCTACGGACGCGAGCGACTCATCCCCCAAATTATAACATACAATAGGTATTTAATACTAATTATATGCCTACTACTACATTTAAACATCTTAAGTATTTAAAAAAGATTCAAGCGTTACTTTGCGGAAATGTATATGTGCGGATGTGTATATAATAAGTAATTAAGATTAAAAATATTAATTAGATCCCTCGCACCCTCGTGGAGAAATAAAAGAAATAAAGGACATAAAAACAAAAAATTGAAACTTTCTTTCTCTATAAATAAATATTAAGCTGTATAATATAATACTACGCAGCTTTATGTTTTGTTGTAACCTCATTTATATTTTTCTACTAAAAATACAGTTATTAATTATTATTATTAAAAATTTTATTTAACTTTTCTTGTATGTACCTATGTCCTGGAATTTGGCAATCAATATTTCGCCCAATTCCACTGAAGCTATAGGGGTAAAATTTGGCACACACGTTTCGTTCTTGAGACAATGTACGATTACTTAAATGCCGCCATTTTCATCCGTATGGCGGACGATACAAAATGGCGATTTATCATTCCAGACAAACGCCTATGATATGGGAATCTAATGAAAGGGCTTGATAAACGAATAACAATATTTAAAGTGAAGTTTTTTACATCCAATACGGCGGACGTCATAAAATGCGATTTATAATTTCCGTCGTAACCCCTATGAATAAATTGTATTATCAAATGGCCCTTTTATTTGATATGAGGAGTGAAACACAATAAATAAAGTGACGTCATTCTAAATACGGCGGTTGCCTAATTAGACAATGCAATATTATAATGACATATAGTTGATCTAATGATGGAGCTGGAATACAGCCAATGGGTGCGTTTGGCAGAAAAAAGCGCTAGCAAGCGCTTATAAGCGCTGAAATAGTTTTCGGCCAGGACACGATTGCTACTTCAGTAGCGCTGACACAATCCGCCATTTTGCTTATTTAATTTATTTGTTTTGAAGTAGAGTTTATAAGTTGTTTTGTGCCATATTAATTTTAAGTAATATAATGACATGGATAAACATATACATGTTATTAAAAATTCATGATTGGTAAGTTTTTAATATGAATACTTTACAAACATATATTTAAATTAGGTTAGGTTCCCCGGTTAAAACTAACATCGTGTCCTGGAGGAAAATAGCTACGTACGATTTGACAGCGCTTACCGCTTACGATCGCCATTTTGCTTACAAGCGCTTGCTAGCGCTTTTTTCTGCCAAACGCACCCAATGACTAAAAAGGAGAAAAACAAAATGGCTGCCATACCAATTTTAAAGAGCTATAACTCGGCAAAAGATGGGAATAGTTTCCTGGTGCTCGAACAAATGTTGTAGCGCAACAAGGGTCAGGTAGGGTCAACTGTTGGCAATAAAAAATAAAGATTGCGGATCTAAATTGGCGATCAAGAACTTATTTGATCCAATCCGCCTGTAATTTTATTATGCTGAGGTATTTGGGGTCTACGATTAAGTTTTCGGGTTCAAATTTTTTGGGTCAAATATTCCGACTGAATTTGTAAAAGAAGGCGCACTTTTTTATACATTTTCATGATATGGGTATTATATAAATGGTATTGCTGGGAAAATACGAATAATAAAATAACGTCACTCTAAATCCAATATGATGGGCCCACAAAATGGCGGACTAAGTTTTTTATTCACCCCCATAATATGTATATCAAACGAACATATGGATTCAAATGATGATAATAAGGTGAACCCTTTGTTTTGCGCTGAAATTATTATGAATAAAATGTTGTCCGCGTTCTGCTCATCGTGGAGATCGTGTACAAAGTAACTCTAAACGGGGTAGGGGGTAGGTCTTAAATTACATTGGACCTCGTCCCTGGACAAATTTTAACGGTGGTGAAAAAAATCAAATTGGCAAAAAACAAATGGCCGCCATACCAAATTTAAAGACATATCTGGCAATCAAACACCAACAACGACGCATTCAATGAAATGAACAGACTTAGAAACAACAACAAAACTAAAAAATTAACAGTAAAAAACATTTTTAAAACAAGCTTTTATTTATATATTCTAGAAAGAAGAAAATTTAATTTAAATTAAATTGAACCCATCAAATTATTACATTAATTTACATAATATAAAAGCTTGTCGTGAGATATACTTGTGCACAAAAAAAAGAATACAATATGAAACTTGATATTGACATATGTAGGTAAAAAAAAACTCGCGATAAGCTTTTATATCATATAAATTGTGTATTGTTATAAATTGATCGGTTTAATTTAATTTATTTTCTATTTTATTATCATTTAAATATAAGCTTGTTTTTAAAAATGTTTTATTTTACTATTAATTTATTATTTAAAAGATCGGTAGTACAAATTGTTATATTTCTATTTGACTCCTGCGTTATTTGAATAGCAATTTTGCATTAATGATAAAAATATGTCTATATTTTTTGTTGCGTTGGTAATGGATTCGTGTGATTGCACTTTTCCTAATTTCAAGTAAGAAATGATTCTTTGTGACAATTTGTTTAAAATCTATACTATACGTGGTAGAGCCACGCTGCAGCTATTATGGTTGTAGCATGAACGAGCCGGCTCTACAGGGGTAGGACCACACTCTCACAGAATACCAGCGTAAAATGACAAGATAATGCTAAACTACTAACCGTAGATTCTCTTCACTGGAAATGAAGAATCCATCTTCGTCCTCAGGGGTTGTAACGCATCAGCATTTTGATTCTTAATCGATATATACATATATATAAATATAAATATAATATATATATATATATATATATATAATTTCAGGTATGAATAAAAATATCGTAGGAATTAAACCACAAAGTTCTTTATTGAAGTAAGTAGTAATTACGTCACATTGAAACTAGACACATATTCGTACATTTTAGCACCATGGGTCGTTTACATTGGACACTACGTACTCAGTGCGGGGCACCTGTTGCACGGAGTAAGTCACTGTTGATGGTGATTGTACTTTGTAGTGGGAGATAGAAGAAGTTTGCGAGGAATGCTCAGCGTCATACAATCCCGGCACTGCAACTTGGGATGTTTGGGTGTACACTGGGCTGGAATAGACTTGAGGTACGGATGCGGTGTATGTTGTTGGGTACGAGACGTAGCTCACAGGCTGCGATTGATATGTTTTGTAGAGCACAGGAGTTGATACTGCACGGTACACGGGCGAGGCGACCCCTTGTGTCTGAAAAAAAAACAATATGATTACATTGTAAGAACTTGTCGCGTCAGTTTTGTTCTGACAAATTCAACGAATGAAATCCGGTGTTAACTCTATACTTCTTACGATCCATTCTTGCTTAAGTATATTATTATACAACATGTAACTGCTTTGTCGGGAATGGCTCTTGCGACTTGTATGAAGTTCGAGATTTAATTTTTTACTAATTTCATCTAGATAAGAGTCATTCCGAAGCATTTTTTTCTCAAACCGAACAAGTTTCAGTCGCCCAAATGCTGTTAATTTACTTTTAATAAACATTATTTAAATGTTTTTTTATTTGATTTTAGCCGCTTTTATAGACTTTTATATTATAAGGCGTTTGTTTTATTTTATTTTATGTATATATTATTTTAATTTCCTCCTTTATTACATTATTGATCTAGTAACTCAGTTATTTTCGGTGTATGTTAGGATACTGAATATTCATTTCAACAACTGGAAGCCATTAAATGTTAATAATAATAGTATTAGCTAATATTAGGTTTTTTAAAATTAGGACTAGAATATATTTTATTTATTTTTAAAGAACGCGTATTACTTGTAACTGACACACAGTAAGGACAAATTAAGAATAATTGTAGCGGATCTCCTCCGTAACCCGTAGGCCAAAAATAAAATTCTGAATTTATCAAAAAGATATTATAAAATAACCAAAAACTAAATTGTCTATTGGAAAATACGCGTAAAGCAAATGCGCGCGATTTAGACTTTTACTCCGCTCCCTTTAAGATGTTAGCAAAAGGTTTTACCTTTGCATCTGCGTCGGCCCTAGTTATAAATCATCGGTCAATCCTTCATCGATAGTAGTACCTTCTCTATATGAATTAGCTCACTATATTTACATCCGCAACATGGACGTAATGTGCTATCTTGTCTTTTAACCAATCTTAATACGTCTGGGTAACCTTTTTAATTATATTATTTTTTAATAAGTGAGAAAAACGAGCGCGCAGTTCACCTGATGATAAGTGAATGTTGTGACCTAAAGACATCTACGTGTATCCACGACTAAGAATCAACATACACATGCGATTCCAGTGAAAAGATTCTGTCGTGAACCACTCCCAACACAAGCATTTTAAGCTAGCCTGGAGTAGTTTACGAGAATATTAGTAATGTTTAAAGGCCAGCAACGCACCTGCAATTCCCCTAATGTTGCATTGGTTTATGGGCGGCGGTCGACACCATCATGTGAGCCACAACTTCACACGTCATTTATAAAAGAGGGGACAAACGAGCGTGTGCTCGTTTGTCCCCTCTTTTATAAAAAATATGTTGATAGCATTGCTAGGAATTGAAAAACCATATTGTACCACATATTGTTGATTTGTTGTGTAGACAGCGGGGGAGTAAAGGCCGAAGCTCCTCTTGTCGCGACCTACCACAGAGGCGCTGGAGACAGCGAGCACCGCGAAAATCACCTGCAAAAAAGAAATACAATCATTTAATAAATTTTAATGATATTCACATGTTGTAATAATGTCGTCCAATGCGGCCAGTCTCAACGGACACTAGCTATCTGCGCGGAACAGGATTATAGTGCCCAAGTGTTTTTACCCCAATTACTGCTTTTGACCCGACCCGGAATTCGAATCCAGAATCTCATAATCAGCAACAACATTTACGACCACAAGACCGACTAGGCAGTCCACACACCTGTTGTAAGAGTCAGAAGACACATTAAGATGTTATTTATTAAAAGTAGGTATACAGGATGTTCAACTGGTTCTGCACTGTACAGCCGTCAAAATGTATGGAATAATTTAATTTTAAATTATTGAGATATCTGTAATACAAATCGTTAAAGCCGTTTCAAAGAAACCAATTTCATATAAGTAAACATTTTCACAAAAATTAAATATAATCTCACAAGCGGGTATAGGGGAGAATCACTCTATACTCCTATCTCACTTGAATGCAGTGCCAGCTAAATCATGGATTGGGATGTAAATCATGGATTGGGATGGCTGACTTATTGCGGAAAACTATCGAAAAATTCTAAACCTAAATTCTACAATATATTTATAAAGGATTACGGATTAGTAAGTTGAAGTGGCAATGGGCGGGCATATAGCTCGAAGAACCGACAACTGATGGCGCTTTTTTTGTCATCGGTTCTTCTGGAATGGTAACCTCGTGCCAGTAAGCGAAGAGTAACGTGGTCGCCCACCAGATGGAGTGAAACCTGGTGTATACAAGAAGTCAATGGATGCAGCTGGCTAAGGTACGTGCTTTGTAACCAAGGTATGGGAGGCCTATGTTCAGCAGTTGACTTGAAGAGCTGTAGTGGTGATGATGAAAGTCTACAAAGTTAAGAAGGCAGCAACACTACCAGTGCTAGTTTCTTCCGGTCCGACTAACCATCGTGGTAGTAAGGAAGCAAAAACCTAGTGCAACTCTCCAGTCAACAATGGATCTAAAAAGTTTTTTTGAACACTATATGGATAACAAATCAACACACCGCCCACCCGATGATAAGTAGATGCTGTGGCTTATATACTACTAGATGAAACACAGCAGTACTAACTGGTATTATGTGAGAGTGTGGTCTTACCCAGGTTTAGCCGACTCATTCATGCTGAAACCATATGTTTATAGCAGCAGCATCGTTCTACCACGTATATAAGTCATACACGTGTATAAGTTGACTACATCAACTACATTATCCTGACCTTGATATACTTAATCAACCTAATAAATTAAAATAGCAACTCACCAGACACTTCATCTTGCTACAACTGTGGGAGGCGCTTACTGATTGAATATCAGAACTAATTTGATACAAATATAACAAATTTGTTGCCTTTTATAAGAAAATTAAGTAGAAATAATAATAACATATAAAGATTTATACCAGTACTTTAACATATCCTAAAACAGGGGATATTGTATATTGATATTAGAGCAAAAAATTTTTAAATGGTATGTGATTATGTTTAGCGTTTAGGGTTCCGCGTTCGTATACAATTCATTAATTGAAGCATGTGATTAAATATAAAAACTTCAATTTTTGTTAAATGTACTGTATTACGTAAACTAATAACCCATTTAAGAACATACTATTGTTTTTAAGCTGCAGTCACTCTGGACTTTTCTAATGATTTAGATAGATTTATGTTTTCTAAATATTTTAATTTTGTTATTACAATTATACTCCAATAATATTTATAATTTGTTGACATTGTGCTGATGGAACGGACACAGTCAAGGATATTTTTGGTCCACATCACCATTCTGTAGGACTAGAATCTCGTGAGAGCCGAAACAAACGGCGTAGAAAACAAAACATCTGGACCTGGTTCACGAGGTGACTGACATGTGGAGTGGTCTGCCGACCGAAATTATACCTGTAGTCGTTTCTGCAAACGGGCTAGTCCCAGTCAGCCTCTTGGGTCATCTGAGGTGACTGGGACTCCGTGACGGACCGCTCCGGGTCCAAATGCAGAAGGCGGTATTTCTTGAAACCGCGCGCATCGTCCGCCGGTTTTGTATTTATAGTTTTCTCATGTATTTGGATAGGGTGGAAAAAACCGGCTTTTCTCCCTAACCCTCGACCGTTTGATCTCCAATGTCGAGGTTTTTCTTTTATTTATTTATTTTAGTTATTTATTACACTTTATTGATGTAGATTTATATATTTATCATTTTCATTTATAAATTTATACAACCAAATACATGAGAAAACTATAAATACCCCAGAGCTATAAGGTTTACATAGGTGATGTTACATAGACCTCCCCCAAAACTTGTCTCAGTAGGATATATGGCATAGTTGGCACGCTTGACAGGCGAATTGACAGCCGCAGTTTTTAATTTTTTAGTTATTATTACAAAGACGCTGTTTCTCCGCCCCTAGCCTTTGATTCTCTCCGTCACCTCTTACGACACCCAAGGGACGTTATAACTACTATTTTTGTAAATCTTCCATCAATTTAAAATAAGAAACGACTATAAACTTATAGTCAATCGTCACATTATCATTAGTAATTACATCATGTAATATACAAAAATGTAGAATTAGTCGTGGTTAACAGAACCAAACGAACGCGCACAGAGTAAACAAAAACAGACAAGTTTAAACAAAGGAGCTTAAAAACAACGAAAAAGGACAAGGGAAAACTTATCTTTTTAACCATTTTCAAAATAGTAAGATGCTCTCCATTCAATTGTACGATCATTTTTTGTATGTATTTACGCGGTATCTCCGTCAACTGTCAACCGATTTTAATGATGCTTTTTCTATAGAACGAGAGTGACTCACGAGCACACAGTCCACCTGATGGTAAGTGGATGCTGTGGCCCATGGACATCTATATCTATCCTCGATTAAGAATAAAATTCTAATACTTGTCACTCCTGAGAACTAAGTTGGATTTCCCCGTTTCCAGCAAAAAGTGTCTCCAGTTCTCTACACTTACCATACGAAACACAACAGTACTCTGTTGGAGGGTGATTCTTTCCCCTTTTGTTCTACAAACACAATATAGCTGCAACGTAGATCTATCACGTATAAAAGTCTACGGAACCTGTTACCATTTTTCGAATACTTTTAGCCACGTCCTTGAGAAGTTTACGAGCTTAAAGGTCCGCATGTACGACGTCCGGTTAGATAAACCAGAACTTGATTTAATGTTATGAATATTATGCTTAATCATATGTATCAAAGTCATATTCAAATTTTTTGAGATTTATATGTGAAAGATTGTCATTTCTTTAAACATACTTAAAGATTAAAGCAGTAATTTAAAGAAAAACAGATTTTGTATAAAAGTTTTGAAGAAATTTAACAGAATTGATTGAATCAGTCCAAACAATTCCTCAGAGCACTCCCCGTGGTAAATGCGATAAAAAATGCAAAGAGATGCAACTCTTCGCAGTGGCGACGATTCGAAAAGCTCTGCACTAAATGCCATCAAATGGTCCCTCCATTGGTACTGGGGAGCCCGGCCCAGAGATAGAAACAGTATTTCATGTGTGCCAATTTGGCCATCTCGTCCAAGTGACCACGAAACTGCAAGTTAGTCGATATGTCAACGTCGAGGATTCCGATACTGGCTGAGGCAATAAGGGGAGTGCCTTGAAACTGAGGAGATTATGACAAAAGGGGTTTTCTTTAACGGTAAATGTGCATTCTTGCGTCGTCTTGTGGGGGGTTGAACTGCACTAGATTTAGTCGCCACCATTCTGAGACTTTGTTCAATAAAGTCTCGACTTCAGACACAAGTTTGTCCTGGTATTATATATTATGGTGTAGTTTTCCCAGGAAATATTCGCACGGCCGGTGTATAAAACATCGCCAGTCCTGTCGTCGTTTCACACCAATGAATGTTACGATTTGCAACACGTCATTGATATGCAAAAGAATCAGCGTTGGTGATAGCAGGCATCGTTGTGGAACACCAGCGTTAATGGGCTTGTAATCTGAGCATGCATCATCTACTACGACCTTGATGCTTGACGATCTGCAAGAAAACTGGTGATCCAATTACACAATTTCTCGAGAAGCTTCGTAATAAGCGCTTTGTGCCAAACCCGATCGAAGGCTTTCGCTATTTCCAAACTAACGGCCAACGCCCTTGGATTCTACTGCCTCCACCCACTTATGAGTTAGGTAACCTAGAATATCACCAGCCGAGTTCCCTTGATGGAAACCGTACTGGTGGTCAGTAATCAGCTGGTGATCCTCAAGGTACCGCATGAGCAGGGTATAAATAATGGACTCCATTATTTTAGAGAACAAGGGGGTGATGGCGATAGGTCTAAAGTTTGACGGATCAGAGCTGTTACCTTTTTTAGGTATCGGGTGCACGTAAGCTGTCTTCCACGATTTCGGGACTACACCTATGGAGTTAGAGTACCGGAAAAGATGCATTAAAACTGGTGTCAACTCCGGAACACACGTCTTCAGCACAATAGGAGGGCCGCCATCAGGCCCACTCAACTTGTTGTCGTCCAGGGAGAGAAGTGTTCTGTGCACTGAGAGTTGGGTAAACAGCACATACCGCGGGATGGTCGCCGGTGTGTTCCCACCGTCATCAAGAGTCGAGTTGGACACAAAGAGTGAGCCCAGCAGATCGGCTTTGTCCTGTGGCGGCGCTGTCGTCGCGCCGCAAGCGAATAACACCGAAGCCTAAATCACGCTATCAAAATTCCGAATCATAAACAGTATATATAGAACATCTCCGAACTATCACATGGAGTGTTGGCCGCTCCCCGGGCAGAACACCTTGCCCGGCGGGAGATCTCCCCTTTTCCTTCCACGGCCACAGTCCTTTGCAGCATGGGCCAGTGAGTACTCCTCCCTGTGCAGAGATGGGAGAGATCGCCGACAGAAGTTCACTTCCACAGTCTTGGCGGGAGACCAGATTGCACGTGTTCCCGAAGGCAGACAAACTAGTTTCTCGTCAATTCTGCCAATTTGCTCTGACTTTGCTTTGACAATGACACTTCTGAAGGACCTAAAGAGTAAGCTCGGCTTCACAGTTTCCAGATGGCTTTAAAATTGGATAAAGTCCTTTGATATAGCAGACAATTTGACTTATTGCTCCGTTTGCCGCGAGCAGGAATAGGGTAGAATTGGGGCCATCCGCATTACCAGAGGAAATGCAGAAGCAGAGCTTCTACTTCACGCCGGTTTTCTGTGAGGTCTTGGTACCACCCCAGTTCGAGCTGGCCCATACGTACAACAACAAAGGCTGACGCGTGGTTCTACCACTGTTAAAACAACTTCCACAACTTAGACGAATGTAACGACACCCCATACTCGTATGTTAAAATTTATCAAACCGTTTAGTCCTATATTTCTTTGGCAGGCTCTGTGCCTGCCAAAGAAATATATATATAAACATAGTCAGCTATTCATTCTTGTGGCAATGTATACCACTTTTTTAAACAAATCCCAGAAAATATACAAAACTTGACCCGCTCATAGCTCAAAAACTTTACAAAACTAAGTTTTTAATAAAAGGGGTATTATAATATTAAAGAATTTATGGCTGAAAAAAAAACCCCGGGAATGATCATGGGAATGATGTGATTACCGTTAAGCTATTTCTGATTTGTTTTGTCTTGGTTAATTGTGTTACAAATATGATTGTAAGCTGTTATATTGAGTATAACAGCTTACAATCATGTTTGTAACACAATTGAGTGAGAGAGACCAGTGATATTGAGTAACCAGTGGTAGTTAAACAAAAAAGTGACTATCTGTAAAAAGCTTTTTATTGCTGTATCTGTTTTATACTATATAATATACTCTGTACTAGACTGCTCGTTGATGAAGTGGTATGACTAAGGATCATGAAGTCTCAAGCTCAAATCACGGGTCGGGACAGAAAAAAACTAGTTCATTGAGTTTTTCCGTCAAGAAATTCTTAGTAGCTGCCCGGAGTCAGGAAGTTGGCGGTGTCTAACCCCCGTGCCTCGGAAAGCACGTAAAGCCGTTGGTCCTGCGCCTGATCTTTCTTCGGTCATGTCGGTTTACCGCTCCATCGGACCATGAGAGTGAGAAAATAGAGAGTGCACCGGAGCTTGCGCATACTCTTGGGTACTATAATCCTGTCCTGCGCCGATGTCAAGTTTCTTGGATTAAATGTAGCCTAAATTACTCCTAGCATTAGCCTAAAATCTGTATGTGAAGTTTATATACAAGCCTTTCCAAAGATAAGTCTGTACGAACAGACTGACAAAATGTTTACAAATGCGTATTGATACCCCACAAGCATGCAAACAACCTCAGAACTCAATAAAAAGCTTTTGTTTATATATAACTGAAAGACACTTCACTTTTATTATATGTATAGATAGAAAAAATAAGTCCTTTATGGTTTAAAAATTTGTTGCCAGAGCTTGAATACATTCCTAACATTATTTAGGATAAATACGCTCCCCATGCTAGTCAATATTTTCCCTTTTCTCTCCTTTGGCCTGTTGAAGTCCTCTGCTCGATGTACTACTACTAGATATGTGCTTTCAAAAATCCGAACTTGACCGGAAGTTAGAATACCAACGGGCTTGCATTACTTTTTTACAATATTGAACTGATAAACGAGCTTCCACTCCATTCATTATAGACCTATGCAGCAGCAATATTATAGTTGTAACACGAATGGGTCCGTTCGACTGGAGTTGGACTACTCTCTCCTAAATATACGCGTTAAATAGCAGCTTAATTTTGCCGTGTTTCTCATGGTGTGAAAACCGGAGAAGTTTTTACTGAAATCAAGGCATTCAATCTTAGTCCTCAGGAGTGACATCTGCATTTGGTATTCTTAATCGAGGAAAAATATAGACTTCTATGAGCCACAGCAATTCACTTACCACAGGTGTTCTGTGTGCTATTTTGTCATTCATATTCTAAAAAAATTGATACGATAGTAGGTAAATAACAATACAAGAGCAGACGGTCGCTAGCGCAGCAGTCCAGTTCCCGCTTAAACTCCTTTATTAGCTTTTTTCAATTTTTTGTCCAACCCAATTAGTCGCCAATTAATAATTCAATGGTTTGACCTTTATGTTGACGCGACAGTAGCCTAATGGCAGGGCGCAAACCGGGAACTCAAAAAGGTCGTGGGTTCGAATCCGCCATTCGACTACTGGCGTGAACCACTCGTAACACAAGCAATTTAAGCTCACCACGAGTGGTTAAGGGAAATATTAGTAATGTTTATAGCATTGTTAATATTCTTTTTATTAAAAAAGATGTTTGATGAACATGAACATTTTCATCTATAAATATCAGAACATTGATTTTTTGCGGTTCAACCCTGTAGCGTAGCATTGGTTGTCGTCGCCCATAGACGCAACACGCGGTATTATTTGGCACTACAGTGCTACAGTGTTCGTTTAATTTTAAAAGTACTCATTCTGGCAATTTTTGAAATTTTTCAGTCTTTTACTCGTATCATATAAAAAGTTGAAATAATCACATCTTAGAATTGTTCCTGAAGCTAACCAGTTTTGTTTACACAAATTCCTAAGTTGCTAAGTAATATTTAAGGCAAAATATTAGGCTCGACTGATCTCCATTCCTTACAACTTTTCTTGTTCGTTGTATTCCAAATTTCCTTATGAAAGAATTTCCGTATTGCTTAAATATATCATCATCATCATCATTACAGCCCTTCGTAAGTCCACTGCTGAACATAGGCCTCCCCCAAGTAATGCCTCAAAGCAAGGTCCTGAGCCACCTGCATCCATCGACTTCCTGCATATCTTACCAGGTCGTCACTCCATCCAGTGGGGGGTCGCCCTACACTACGCCTGCTAGTACGAGGCTGCCACTCGAGAACCTTTCTTCCCCATCGGTTATCGGTTCTTCGAGCTATACGGCCGGCCCATTGCCACTTCAGCTTACTAATCCGTTGGGCTATGTCGGTCACTCTGGTTTTACTGCGGATATCCTCATTTCTGAGTCTATCACGCAGAGAAACTCCGAGCATAGCCCTCTCCATAGCTCGCTGAGCGACCTTGAGCGTCCTCATACGGCCAGCAGTGAAGGACCACGTCTCAGATCCGTAAGTCATCACTGGCAAGACGTACTGGTTGTACAATCTAGTTTTCAGAGATTGAGGTATACCTGACGAGAAGATGTGTCGTAATTTTCCGAACGCTGCCCAGCCGAGTTGAATCCGTCGATTGACCTCTCGGTCGAAGTTGGACTTACCTAGTCGGCTATTTGTCCCAGGTAAACGTACTCATCAACAACTTCGAGCATAGTGCTCCCAACAACTTCCGGCATAGGTGTGACATGGACATTAAACATGATCTTTGTTTTGTCCATGTTCATCTTAAGACATATCCGTTGGGAGACACCATTGAGGTCAATGAGCATATTGCTTAGGTCCTCCAGCGATTCTGCCATAAGGACTATATCGTGGGCAAATCGAAGGTGAGTGATGTACTCGCCATTGATGTTAATACCGTATCCTTTCCAGTCCAATAGCTTGTAGTAGCAGCTAGTATATATATATATATATATATATATATATATATATATATATATATATATATAAATAGTAAAAGTAGACGAAATGAGTAATTTCAATTGTGAATAAAAATATCATATTTATTAAACCACAAAGTTCTTTATTTAGTAATTATGTCACATTAAAACTAGACACGTATTAATTACATTTTAGCACCACGGGTCGTTTATGTTGGACACTACGTACTCAGTACGGGGCACCTGTTGCACGGAGTAAGTCACTGCTGATGGTGATTTTAGTTTGTAGTGGGAGATAGAAGAAGTTTGCGAGGAATGCTCAGCGTCATACACTCCCGGTACTGCAACTTGGGATGTTTGGGTGTACACTGGGCTGGAATAGACTTGAGGTACGGATGCGGTGTATGTTGTTGGGTACGAGACGTAGCTCACAGGCTGCGATTGATATGTTTTGTAGAGCACAGGAGTTGATACTGCACGGTACACGGGCGACACTTCTTGTGTCTGAAAATAGAAAACAATACGATAACATTGTAAGAACTTGTCGCATCAGTTTTGTTCAAATTCAACGAATGAAGTCCAGTGTTAACTCTATACTTTAAACGAGATATTCTTGTGTAAATATATAATTATACAACATGTAACTGCTTTATAAGAAATGGCTCTTACGATTTAGATGAAGTTTGAGAATTAATTTCTTACAAACTTATTAGCCTAATATCGGTCAATCCCTCATACCTTCTCTATAGGAATTAGCTCTCTATATTCACATCCGCAACATGGACGTAATGTGCTTATGACTGTTATCGGCTTTGTAACCAATTTTAATACGTCTGGTTAACCTTTTTAATTATATTCTTTTTTTTTTTAACACAAGCATTTAAGCTTACCTGGAGTAGTTTACATGAATATTAGTAATGTTTGAAGGCGGACATGGCACCTGCAATTCCCCTAATGTTGCAGTTGTTTATGGGCGACGGTCGACACTTACCATCGTGTGAGCCGCACGCTCGTTTGTCCCCTCTTTTATAAAAAATATGTTGATAGCATTGCTAGGAATTAAAAACCATATTGTACCACATATTGTTGATTTGTTGTGTAGACAGCGGGGGAGTAAAGGCCGAAGCTCCTCTTGTCGCGACCTACCACAGAGGCGCTGGAGACAGCGAGCACCGCGAAAATAACCTGCAAAAGAAATACAATCACTTAACAAATTTTAATGATATTTACTTGTTGCAGCAACGTTGTCCAACGCAGCCAGTCTCGACGGAGACCAGCTATCTGCGCGGAACAGGATTATAGTGCCCAATTGTATGCGCCCAACCCGACTCGGGATTCGAATCCAGAATCTCATAATAAGCAACAGCAACAACATTTACGAGTACAAGACCGACAAGACAGTCAACACACGTGTTGAATGAGTCAGAAGACACATTAAGATGTTATTTATTAAAAATATTAAAAGTGTATGCAGGCTGTTCAACTGGTTCTGCACTGTGCACTAGAGCCGTCAAAATGTATGGAATATTATTGAGATTTCTGTAATATAAATCGTTAAAGTCGTTTCAGAGAAACCAATTTAATGTAAACATTTCCACAAAAATTGCATATAATCGCACCAGCGGCTATAGGGGAGAATCACTCCATACTCCTATCTCACTTGCATGCAGTGCCAGCTAACTCATGGATTGGGATCTAATGGCTGACTTATTGCGGAAAACTATCGAAAAATGCTAAACCTAAATTCTACAGTGGATTTGTAACGGATTACAGATCAATAAGTCGAAATGGCAATGGGCGGCAAATGCAAATGCAAATAGGCAAATATAATATAAATAAGGCAAATGGCAAAATATAAAAAAATATAATATAAATAAGGCAAATGGCATATAGCCCGAAGAACCGACGACCGATGGCGCTTTCTTTGCCATTGGTTCTCCTCAAATGGCAACCTCGTGCCGGTTAGCGAAGAACAAAGCGTTCGCCCACTAGATGGAGTGAGAACCTGGTGTATATAGGAAGTCAATGCTTGCGGATAGCTAGCAACTTTTAACCGTACCCTGAACTCTACGAATAAAAAACATACAGTGCAGATTTTCCCCAAAGAAAAAAACTAAAACTATAGGAATAAAAACTTTTTTTTTAAATATAATATGAGTAACAAACCAGCACACTGCCCACCTGATGACAAATGACGTTGTGGCCCATAGACAACCAGACGAAACACAGCAGTATTGAGCTGCTATTTTACGCTGGTCTTATGTGAGAGCGTGGTCCTACCCAGGTTGAGCCGACTCATTCATGACACAACCATAATATAGCTGGAGCGTCGCTCTCCCACGCATATAAATCATACACGTGTAACTTACACACGTGTATGACTACATCAACTACATTATCCTGACCTTGATATACTTAATAAAATAGCAACTCACCAGACACTTCATCTTGCTACAACTGTGGGAGGCGCGTACTGATTGAATATCGGAACTAATTTGATACAAGTAAAACAATTTTGTTGCCTTATATAAGAAAATGAAGTAGAAATAATAATAGCATATAAAGATCTATACCAGCGCTTTGACATATCCTTAAACAGGAGCCAATATATTGGAGCAAAGATAAAATTTGAAATGTTATGTGATTATGTTTAGCGTTTAGGGTTCTGCGTTCGTATACAGTTCATTAATTAAAGCATGTATTTAAAAATAAATACTTAAACTTTAATTAAATGTACTGTATTACCAAAACTAATAACACATTTAAGAACATTCTATTTTATTTTTAAAAATAAGCGGCTGCTCTGGACTTTTCAAACGATCTAGTTAGGTCTAGGTTTTCTAAATATTTTTTTAATAATATTATATTCGTTATAATAATAATAATAACACATTTATACTAAAAATAATGATTATTATTATTTATAGCCCGAAATTGTGCTAATGGACCGGGCACTGTCAATATCATCAGATATTTTTGTCTACATCACCATTCCGTATGACGAGAACCTCGTGAAAGCCGAAACAAACGGATAAGGAAACAAAATATCTGGGCCTGTATTTAATCGAACCAAACAAACTCACTCTTAGATGAAATAACAGCAGACAAGTAAAAACAAAGAAGCTTAGAAAGAACGAAAATGGAAATTTCATTTCAATATAATTTCCTTTATGGGTCTACTGGAAGATATTTCAGCAAATTATGGAATAAGTAGAACCTTTGTACGAACTTACTATAAGACTGCTTCTGTATCATGATATGTGTACATAAATAAATTTAAAAAAAGGAAAAGGGAAAACAGGTCTTTTTAACCGTTTTCAAAATAATTTGATGCTCTCCATTCAATTGTACGTTCATTTTTTGTATGTATGTACGTGATATCTCCGTCAATTGTCAACCGGTTTTAATTATACTTTTTCTATAAAATGAGAGTGACTCACGAGCACACAGTCCACCTGATGGTAAGTGGATGCTGTGGCCCATAGACGTCTACATCTATCCTCTATTAGAGAATAAAATTCAAATACTTGTCACCCCAGAGAACTAAGTTGGATTTCCCCGTTTCCAGTAAAAAGTGTATCCGGTTCTCTACACTTACCATACGAAATGCAACAGTATTCTGTGGGAGGATGATTCTTTCCCCGTTGAACCGACCGACCCATTCGTTCTACAATCACAATATAGCTGCAGCGTAGCTCTACCACATATAAAAGGCTACGGAACCTGTTACAATTTTACGTATACTTTTAGCCACGTCCTTGAGAAGTTACCGAGCTTAAAAGGTCTGCGTGTACGATGTCCGGTTAGATAAAAAAGAACTTGATTTAGTGTTATTAATTTTATGCTTAATCATATGTATCAAAGTTATATTCTAATTTTATGAGATTTATATGTGAAAGCTCGTCATTTTTTAAACATGCTTAAAGGTTGAAACAGTAATTTAAAAAAACTGATTTTGTATAAAAGATTCATCATCATCATCATCATTACAGTCCTTCGCAAGTCCGCTGCTGAACATAGGCCTCCCCCAAGTAATGCCACAAAGTACGGTCCTGAGCCACCTGCATCCATCGACTTCCTGCATATCTACCATGTCGTCACTCCATCTAGTGGGGGGTCGCCCTACACTACGCCTACTAGTACGGGCCTGCCACTCGAGAACCTTTCTTCCTCATCGGTTATCGGTTCTTCGAGCTATATGGCCGGCCCATTGCCACTTCAGCTTACTAATCCGTTGGGCTATGTCGGTCACACTGGTTTTACTGCGGATATCCTCATTTCTGAGTCTATCACGCAGAGAAACTCCGAGCATAGCCCTCTCCATAGCTCGCTGAGCGACCTTGAGTGTCCTCATACGGCCAGCAGTGAAGGACCACGTCTCAGATCCGTAAGTCATCACTGGCAAGACGTACTGGTTGTACAATCTAGTTTTCAGAGATTAAGGTATACCTGACGAGAAGATGTGTCGTAATTTCCCGAACGCTACCCAGCCGAGTTGAATCCGTCGATTGACCTCTCGGTCGAAGTTGGACTTACCTAGTTGGACTATTTGTCCCAGGTAAACGTACTCGTCAACAACTTCGAGCATAGTGCTCCCGACAACTACCGGCATAGGTGTGACATGGACATTAAACATGATCTTTGTTTTGTCCATGGTCATCTTAAGACCTATCTGTTGGGAGGCGCTATCCAGGTCATTGAGCAGAGTGCTTAGGTCCTCCAGCAATTCTGCATTAAGTACTATATCGTCGGCAAACCGAAGGCGAATGATGACTCGCCATTGATGTTAATACCGTATCCTTTCCAGTCCATTAGCTTGAAAACGTCTTCCAATGCAGCGGTGAAGAGTTTCGGGGAAATAACGTAACCCTGTCTTACACCTCTCTGCAGTTATAGCCATCGTAGCCCTGCTGTACAAACACTTCAGCACTTCGATATACCGACAGTCAACTTGGCACCGCTGAAGAGACTGTAGCACCGCCCAAATTTCGATGGAATCAAAGGCTTTCTCATAGTCCACATACGTCAGGCAAAGTGGCAAATTTAATAAAAGATTACAAGAAAGTTAATAAAGAAGTCAAACAAGATTAAAATAGTAAACTTTTATACTCTATGTCACTTCCATAACTTAGGCGAATGTAACGATACCCCATACCTTTGTGTTAAAATTCGTCAAGCTGTCTAGACCACAGAGCCTGCTAAAATAATAGACATACAAACATAGTCAGTTATTAATTCTTGGGGACAATGTATACCCTTTTACAGCAAAATCCCAGAAAATATACAAATCTTGACCCGCTCATAGCTTAAACTTTAACTAAGTTTGTTTAAAAGGATATTATAATAATAAAGATTTTATGGATGGTAATAACCCCCGGGAATGAGGTGATCACTATATATTTTCTGATTTGTTTTATCTTGATTAATTTTATAACAAACATGATTGTAAGCTGTTACTGGTGATTATGATAAACCCTTGGTAATTTAACAAAAGTGTGACTTTCAATAAGTATTATTTATAATCTATATTGAATAAAATAGTTTCTATTACTGTATCAGTTTTACACTATACTACTATACTCTGTACTGGACTACTCGTTGGTCAAGTGGTTGTGGTAGTGCGACTGCAGACGATGAGGTCTCATGCTCGAATCCCGGGTCGGACCAAAAAAAAATAGTTTATTGAGTTTTTTTGTCAAAAAATTCTCAGTAGCTGCCCGGCCGGCCAGAAAGTTGGCGGTGCTTCAACCCCGTGCCTTGGAAAACACATAAAGCCATTGGTCCTGCGCCTGATCTATCTCCGGTCGTGTCGGACTACGTCTTTTGTTTGTCTTTACCGTCCCGTCGGACTACGAGAGTGAGAGAATAGAGAGTGCACCGGTACTTGCGCATACTGAGCACTATAATCCTGTCCTGCACCGATGTAAAGTTTCTGGGATAAAATTTAGCGTAGATCACTCTTAGTTTATTATATTGCTTTGTAAGTTTGATGAGCTTGAACAGATAGACAGACATACCCTAAAAGCATGCAAGTAACCTCAGAGCTCAACAAAGGGCAGTTATTTCTATATTACAGACAGACGCTTCACTCTCTCTTCTTCTTCTGATCTCTTAAAATATTAACATTACTCTGTATTTATATACTAGAATCGTGATAAAGTTAATCCAACTTTTTGATATAAGAGTATAACCACTTAACCTTCGTCCTAGAAAACAAAAAATCCAGACAAATGTATGTAAAACTGCCCTTATAAAAAAAAACTGTTGTTGAAATGGCCCCCAAATTATATAAATAAATTATATAATTATATATATATATATATATATATATATATATATATATATATATATTATATAATGACATAAAATGTTATAATGTGGAAAAATTTAAATCTATTCTAAATAAATTTCTTATAGATAAATTTTATTATAAAGTCAATGGATTTCTATTTACTAATAATTTAGATATGTAGTTTAATAATTTTATTTTGACTTTACTTAATTTAATTGTAATTTTAATTTGTTTTTCATATATATATATTTAATTTTGTGAGATACGGATACATAAATTCGTATGCTGTTAAAGCATTTCACAGAGGTACTATAAAATTATTACATTGTCAACCTTGTTACGTGTGAAAACGAATAAAATGATTGATTGATTGACTCTTATACAAAAAATAAGTACTTTATGCTCCAAATTTGTTGCCAGAGCTTGACACACTCCCTAACATTATGTCGGATAAAAACGCTCTCCATGCTAGTTAATATTTTCACATGCGAGCAAATAGCACTCTTCACGCCACGTCTGTTGAAGTCATACTGCTAGATGTGCTACTGGTAGATATGTGCTTTTCAGCAAACCGAACACTACCAAAAGTTATATACCATAAGAATACCAACGGGCTTGCATTAATTTTTTACCATATTGGACTGGTAAACGAGCTTCCACTGCATTCGTGATAGAGACATGCTGCAGCTATATTATAGTTGTAACACGAACGGATCTGCTCGACTGGGGTTGGACCACTCTCTCACTGAATACCAGCGTTAAATAGCAGATTAATGCTGCTTTGTTTCGTACGGTGAGTGTAATGTTCGAATTGAAAAATGTGTATTATATAAAATAGATTTCGTTCGTTATACATTTATTCTGTTCCATAATGTAAAGATAATTTATCTAAATAACAATTTCATTGGTGTCGGCGGGGATCGAAACCGGGTTGTTCGTTTTTATGGCAAGCACTTTGCCCTTGAGCTACCATGGCTCATATCTGTTTTGTTTCTATTTTATAATAATGTTACCTTCACACTAAAAATGTTTCTTAAGTATATAGTGGAGGCAGTTAACATAAGAACATAAACACAAGGACAAACATTGATCCCCGGAACAATTATTTGTGGGTTTACAAATTTTTGTTCCGTACGGGAATCAAATCCGCGGTCCTTAGAGTTAAACTTATTGCTATGCCACTCCGCCACCGAGCCGCCAAATATATATTTTGTAGGGTAATATATTTGG